AAAAATGAAAATAAAATAAAAAAAAAAAATGAATGAGTCATCTACTACCAACCTAAGCCCTTCATTTTTCCCATGAGGAAACAGATCCTTATGGTTATGTGAATTAACCAAAATTATTTAAGTGTGAGCAGCAGAATCTAAACTAAACCCCCAAATCCTGACAACTATTCCAGAATTTTTTCTGCTATAACTTGTTTTCAATTCAGAAAATCTTGGGGACTATAACATTGGTAATATATAACAGAAATTGAGATTTGTAGAGAGATTACTGGGGTTCTTGGATAATATTAATTTGGTTTTGGACATGTAAACACTGATGTGATGACAGAACTTCTAACCAGAAATGGCCTATAGGAGGTTTTCAATCCAGGATTAGAGTAAAAGTGAAAATTATCAAACTAGAGATAGATATATTTGAGAATCATAAACATAGAACTGTAAGTTGAAGGCAAGACAAATATATTTTTGTAGTATTATGAATAGGAAAGGTTTTTGGTTTTCCATTACTTTAAATATTTTTTAGTGTACTGAAGAATTATTGAACAAGCAATGCACTTAACTGCAATCAGTATGTTAATGGCATTGGAATCACTTCATTTGCTCATGTTAATCTTGATCTGCCTGCATACACAGTGATTCAGGGACTGCTGCATTGGCTAGGCTATATTGGTGCCCTCTGAAAACATTGCCAGGGTTCCAGATCCTTCTCTGTGGGTCCTATTACCATCTTTATTCTGTACTTTAGTTAGATCTTGCCAACTATTATTTTCTTTTTTTTTTTTTAAGATTTTATTTATTTATTCATGAGAGATAGAGAGAGAGAGAGAGGCAGAGGCAGAGGGAGAAGCAGGCTCCCCGTGGAGCAGGGAGCCCGACGCAGGACTCGATCCCAGGACCCTGGGATCATGACCTGAGCCGAAGGCAGACGCTTAACTGACTGAGCCACCCAGGCGTCCTGCCAACTATTATTTTCAAAGGCAAAGCAAAAAATCTTAAAACTTTTCTGAGATTTATAGAACATGCCTATGCTATAAATGAAGCAGAGGCCTTGGATATTTTTGGTGCTTCATCATTCATGAATCAGCCCATATATCCCCTTATCTGAGAAGTCTTGCCTAAACCCCACCGGTGATCCTTATGCCTGCCCCCATTAAGCAATCAGTCATTCCTTTCCCTCCATTCTTTAAGTACTCTAAACATATTTCAGTTATAGTATATGGCATGATGCTTTGTAACTGCTTCTGTGTACATCTCTTCAACTAGTGAATGTGTGTGTCTGCAAAAGTGGGTTTTTTTATTTCAAGTTTTTATTTAAATTCTAGTTAGTTAACATATATGGTAAAATTGGCTTCAGGTGTAGAATTTAGTGATTCATCACTTACAGATAACACCCCGTGCTCATCACAAGTGCCCTCCTTAATCCCCATCACCCATTTAGCCCATCCCCTGCCCACCTCTGTCAACCCTCAATTCGTTCTCTATAGTTAAGAGTTTCTTATGGGAAAATCTTTAAAAAAAAAAGAGTTTCTTATGGTTTGCTTCCCTCCCTCTTTTTTTTTTCTTTCCCCTGTGTTCATATGTTTTGTTTCTTAAATTTCACATATGAGTGAAATCATATGAGAGAGTGAGCATGTGAGCACATGAGCAGTGGGGCAAGGGCAGAGGGAGAGACAGAATCTTAAGCAGGCTCCACACCCAGCACAGAGTCCCACACAGGGCTCCATCTCACATCCCTGAGATCATGACCTGAGCTGAAATGGGAGTCAGATGCATAAACAACTGAGCCACCCAGGCGCCCCAAGATTTCGTTCTTTTTGATGGCTGAATAATACTCCATTGTGTGTGTGTGTGTATATATATATATATGCCACAACTTCTTTATTTATTTATCAGTCGATGGACATCTTTTAATCTTTGTCATTTTCATGACATCAGTGCTGGCACATGCAAAAATTCAATTCATTCTGGTGAAATCTTTTATATCTGGGCATCGGAAGAGTCAGATAAAAGGTTCACCTAGCAATTTATGGGAAGAAGAAAGCATGTCCACACAGATTCATTCAGCAAGATGGAGAAATTATTTCCCTATCATAGAAACCTCCACAAGGGCAAACAGCTAGGGAGTGATAATGAGCATGGTGCATGTGGAGAGAGGAAACTGATCTCCCTGGAGCAGAAAAACAGAAGTTGGATAGAAAAGGGAGATAAAGTTGGGTAGGGCGGGTGGGATAAGATTGTGGAGGGGTATAAATGAAAGTCAGTATATTAGTTTCCTATCACTACTGTAACAAATTATAACAAACTTGGTGGCTTAAAATAATATAAATCTATTATCTTACAAGTCTAAAGGCCAAAAGTCAAAGATGGGTCTCACTAGGCTAAAACGGGCATTCCTTTCTGGATGATCTAGGGGAGAATCCATTTTCTTGCCTTCTAGAGGCTGCCTACCTTCTTGACTCATTACTCTTTTCCAACATCAAAGCCAGCAATGGTCAGTCTTTCTCACATCGTTATCCTCTGACACTTTCTTCTGCCTTCCTCTTTCACTTTTAAGGATCCTGTAATTACTCTGGGCCCACTCAGACAGTCCAGGATAATCTCCCCGTTTTAAGGTGAGCTGATTAGCAATATTAATTCATGTGAATGTTAATTCCCCTTTCCCATATAAACTTAAATATTCACAGGTTCCAAGAATTAGGACATGACAACTCTGGGGGCCATTATTCTGCCCCCTACACTCAGAATGGAATGGAAAGCCTCTATCTAGCTCTTAAACCAAAAATTGCCATGATAAAACATAGAGGTCCAGACTGAGCTGCCCTAAATTGCCCTCTCTAAAACCTTGCACAAGTGAATCATGATGAGGATTTTTTTTTTTTTGCCTTTGTGTGAAAAAAAAATGTTAAAAAAATAGCAGACATACCTTAGGCACTTTCCTCATATGCATATAGACAGATAACAAGAACATTTTAACACTTCTCTGTGTATAAATGATGCTGGCCCTAAGAAATGGTCCAGCTGTCTTACTGTGGGATGTCCACATGCATAATATTTTGAATGATTTTAATTCATTTACTGGGATCTGAGTTCCTATTAAGCTAGTGAGTGGTGTGATTCCCATGATACTGATAGGGCTGTGTGATTCTTTTGCTTTTGCATAACACTAATTAATAATGACAACACAATGATCTTGAATGTAGTTATCTTTCTCAGAGCTCAAGGAGTTTCATATAATTTATCTTTTTTCTTTCAAAAATATGCTTACAACATTACTGGCTGCAGTATAACTATTTGAGATTAAAATGAGAAATAATTTTCCAACATCAGTGAAAGGCATAAGGAAGTTTATAAATATAATGATCTGATTGAAAAAATAGTCAAACCAGGGGCGCCTGGGTCATGCAGCCGATTAGGCATCCGACTCTTGGTTTCTGCTCAGGTCGTGATCTCAGAGTCATGGTCATGAGATCGAGCCCCACGTCAGGCTCTGTGCTCAGCACAGAGTCCGCTTAAGACTCTTTCTCCCTCTCCCTATGCCCCTTTCTTTCCTTTCTCTCTCTCTCTCTCTCAAATAGATAAAAATCTTTGGGAAAAAATAGTCAAACTGTCTTTATATATACAAATTGTAAATTTAAAAAAATGAATAAGCGAACCTTTCTGAAGGTGACTATTTGTATCTTTAAAGTACAGGTGATAATATCTGTGTTCATTCATTCACTCTCTTAGTAAGTGTTCACGTAAACTCCCAGGTACCAGATATCATTCTAGGCATAAGAATGGCATAAGGATCCAAAACAAGACAAAGTCATAGTTGAGGAGCTTACTGCTAGTAGGACACAGACCATACACTTCTAACAAACATATTAACAAACAAATAATATTTTAGGTAGTGAAAAACACTCTGAATAAAAAGAAAAAAAATAGCACAGGGTAGAAAGAGAGAGGAAGGGAATGCTATTTTAGTTAGGGTGGTCAGGAAAGGCCTGAGCAGATATTTGAATAAGGAGCAAGCCATGTGAAGAAATGAAAAAAGGGTAAATATACCTATTTGATTCAATGAACAAATATTAATTAAGCATATACTATGGGCCAGGAATCATTTTTGGTGCTGGTGAGAAAGCAAGTATAAAGACCCCGCATGAATCAGGACAAACCAGAAGAGATAAAGAAACAACAAAAAGTATATGTACCATTGAGCTATATCAACAAATGTCTACCAAACACAATACTCCCTAACAGGTCAGTCTAACTATACCTGTTTCTAGGTTTATGGTTTTAAAAGTTTTTGCAATAAAACCATTTGTTTAAAGTCTCATGTGGAATTCCAATATATCAAACAAATAAAAATGATTTGTTCTGTTGAAGGATTTGTGGTTGTCCATAGGCCCATCCTGCCTCCTCTTCAAAAGTTCCCACTCCCACTTTGTAGTGCTGTTAATTCCTTTTGGTAATTGTACCATGGTTGTGTGAAATGTTAACATAAGGAGAAGCTGGGTATGGGTATACCTATAGGTATAGGAACTCTATGTACTAGTTTTACAACTCTTCTGTAAGTCTAAACTTATTTCCAAGTAAAAGGATGAAAGAAAAAAAAAAACTCACTCCTGTGACTACCAGGCAAACCATTTAGGTTACTGGAAACACTACCATGCCTTGCTGATTTAACCTATTTATAAGAGACCTTCCGAAAGGGGCAGCTCCTTTCTGGGTAGCTTATTTTGGTTTTTAGTCATTCTCAACACCAGAAAATTATTTCTTATGACTCTTCAAACACTTCAGACTCTGGTCTGAACCCACTTTTTCAAGTTTTGTTATCAATTAAGAGAATTAAGAGAATCAGTTGCCTTCTACAAAATAATACTTTGTGATATGTTTAGAGACCACATAATTCTCCATCAACCTTCTTTCTACAAGTTAATAACAATACCTTTATCTTTTCTCAAAGGTTTTCTTTTTCCACATTTGAATCATTCAAGGGACTCTCCATTTTAAGTTCTTCTTAACCTTCTTAAACGATGGTGTCCACAGCTTACCAATGGACTTCCAAAAAATAAATAAATAGAAACAAAATTAAAAGAGGATCCAGTCAGTGTCAAATATCTAGGGTGAGAAGGGAGTAATATTCAGACTTTATATACAGTATTCCTATTTGGATATTATTGCCGTAACAACCTCACTACATTACCATATTTTGTTTTTTCTTACACATTTTTTCTCACCATTTATGACAGTTGTTAAGCCAAGTGCCCCAGGCATTTGCTCCTAACCAATGAACAGCCAGACTGGGAACTTCAAGTCTTTCAGCAAGTCACAACTGCCAAAAATGCTCTCTCGCCAGGAGACATATTCCCTGAATTATATAAAATGGAAATTCATTTTGAAATCATTCACCTGATATCATTAAACAATAAGAAAAGTAAATCAGCTAAGTCTGTGACCCTCTCTGTTGGACCTCTCCGTGCTTTAGTTCCCTGTATGAGAAACAAGGATAAGAGTGTTTACCAACTTCACACGAGTGTTGCAAGAGTTGATTAATGCTTATACAGCACCATCTGATGAGAGGTTCTGTGGCTGTTAACAGTTATCATAGGCTATGGAATGCCTGGGTCCCTCAAGAGCATTCCCTCAAATCTTGGTACCATGATTATAGGTGACTTGCTGAGGCCCGTCACTAGTTTGTGACCCAACTGTACTTTCAGACATGCACACTGAGCGCCAGTAAGGCTATCACCCAAAGCTGAAAAGCAGTTTTTCTAATGCTGCAGGCTCATGCACAAGGCACCAAAATAGCACTAGAAATACTATACCCATATTGCTTTATCCTAGACATCTGACACTTGTAAAGCTCATGCCAGATTTCTTGTCACATATGTGTCTGGAAGCCTCCGTGCTGAGAGGCATTTCTTATCTTCTGACATTTCAGAGAGCTGCACGGAGCTAGACAAGCATAGACCCTCCTTCAAACAGGCATGAGGCAAATGTAAGCATTCTTTTCTGGTGACCTCCAACAGCCCTCACTGGACAAGATCCAAGACACCCTTCAGCACATCTGCAATCCTTAGCATGGCCCAAACGTTTGAGTGTGCTTCTACCAGTGAGTAAAAGCCAAAGTGCCCTGCTCTCCAAGGTCATCTGGAAATGATATGCCCATTAGCTAAATGAGGAAATGTTACTGCAACCAGAAGATCAAAGGATCCTCAGGGGTCCAGGGGTCCAGATACTCTGTCTCTAGTGACATAGTTCACTTCCATCTATTAAAAGCAGGCTTCAGTTCACTCTAATTACTGTTGTGACTGAGTCCCTCAAACAGAAACTAAAATAGGATTTTTTCACGATACAATAGTAGATAATTTCTAGTGATTTCCTTCTTTTTTAATCTTATCTACACAACCTGCCTGACAAAGTATGTGCCATGGCGACCTCATCCCTAGCCACCAAGGAGCAAGGGTTTTTAGTAAGAGGGTCCCTGAAGCAACATGTGTCAGAATAACCTAGTTTTTTTGTTTTTTGCTTTTTTTATTGTAAAGATTTTATTTGTTTATTTTAGAGAGATACAGAGAGTGTGAGGGGGTAGGGGCCGGAGGAGAATGAGACTATCAAGCAGACTCCACGCTGAGCACAGAGCCCAATGCAGGGCTTGATCTCATGACCCTGAGATCATGACCTGAGCCAAAACCGAGAGACACTTAACCAACTGAGCCACCCAGGTATCCCTTGTGTTTTTTTTGTTTTTTGTTTTTTGTTTTTTTAAGAGCGAGAGAGAGAGTATGAGCAGGGGAGGGGCAGAGCTAGAGGAAGAGAGAGAATCCTAAGCAGGCTCCCAGGGCGGAGCCCAAGGCAGGGCTTGATCTCACAACCCTGAGATCATGGACTGAGCTGAAATCAAAAGACAGACACTTAACCACTTAACCTACTGGGCGAGCCAGGTGCCCCAGAATAACAGTTTTAAATGCAAATTCCTGGACCTTATTCCAGACCTTTGACTCAAAACCTCTGGCAAATGAGATCCAAGGAGTTGCATTTTTAACTATTTCCCCAGATGATCTTTTTTTTGACGTTTTATTTTCCCAGGTAATTTTTATACACACTAAATTTTTTAAAAGCCTGACAGAATTTTCAAGTAAATTAAAACTCACACAAACCCTCAGCTTGTTGGGAAGAGTTTCTGGCCACAAGTATATATTTAGTGGTCTTTGAGTCATCTACTCTAAACTCACCCACAAGCAACAATGACAGCACTCAAGAGGAAGGAACACATTTCATGATTCCTTCCTTCTTCAAGTCCCATTGTTCATACCTCTCTTTTGGAATAATAAGTACCATATGATGCTTCTGGCATAAGTTGTCTTGTATTCTTTAATTTCCTGTATTAACTTTCTGTTGCTACCATATCAGATTACTACAAACTTTGCACAAATTTATTATCTTACAGTTCTATTAGGTTAGAAGTCCAACACAAGTTTTACTGGGCTAAAATCAAGGTGTCAGCAGGGCAGGTTCCTTTCCAGAGGCTCTAAGGGAGAATCTATTTCCTTACCCTTTCCAGCTTTTAGAAGCTGCCCATAACTCTTGGCTCATGGCCCTCTTTCTCCATCTTCAAAGCAAATACCACTGCATCTGACTATTCTTCACATTTCCTTCTGATTCTCTTCTTCTCCCTCCTTCCTTCACTTTGAAGGACCCTTGTGATTATACTGGGGCCATTCAGATAATCCAGGATAATTTCCTATCTCAAGGTTCTTAATATGTGATTAAATCTACAAAGTCCCTTTTGCCATGTAAGATAACATTTTCACAACTTCCAGAGATTAAGACATGGACCTCTTGGGTGCCTGGGTGGCTCAGTTGGTTAAGCGACTGCCTTCAGCTCAGGTCATGATCCCAGGGTCCTGGGATCGAGTCCCGCATCGGGCTCCCTGCTC